CCCCCACAATCCTCTCCCATATCACCTGGGGATGAAGGGGAAGTGGGTGAATATGTGTTGGCTGCTAGCCAAGGGCTAGCCAAGTGAAACTATCACACAGGCAAACAAGAATGCACATCGTCTTCTTCTGTAGCAATAAACTAAACACTGCCAAGGAATATTTGCTGCCAGGTGCCCAGCATGATTATGTCTACTGTCAAATTATTCAAACAATCCTTGGCGAATTTTTCGGCCAATGCCAACTAGTGTCTCCCAGCAACTTTTTCCACTGCTGAGGAACTACCATGGTCCAGGGCTTGTGCCTGATAGGCAGCTTGAGCATTACTTGCTCTGGTGCCTGAGGATGTGGAGGTCAGTTGACTTGAGGGTCAGAAAAGTCTTCTGGGCGTGTTTAAATTTTGTGTGTAGGCTGTAGGCTAAAAATGTTTCTGTATTTGTGCTGGTCAGGAGCATTCAAGGTGACACTGCTTCATTACCTTCCTGAAGAAGGTTTCATGTTGATCATTTCTACTGTATCAGCTTTACAATGTTACTGCTTTGATGTCTGTGTGTGGGGAATCAACCATAAGGTGATAAGATAGCCCTTCTACTTGCAGAAAAGCTGTAGAGATAGGAGAGTTTGTAAGGCGTCCTTAGCTGCACAACCACAGCTGTTGTGAACATCCAGTATCATAAAGTGAAGCTGGCACGATGCTTCTCCGAGGCAGTATTTGTTCTACTTTCTTTACGAAGAATCAAAACCCATCAGTTATTTTTCAGCATGTTTTTATAGCTCATTTTGCAATATAATAGTCATTATCACTGTTTTAAATCTCTTGATCCTTCATGTGCCTTGGGTTGGTTCTTGATGTGAAGTTGCAAAGGAGTTAGGTGAACGTAATGTTTGTAAAATGCTTTGAAGATGAAAAGCTCTGCAGTAGGTTTTTATTATTACCAGAGGCAAAGTGAGCAGGGGTGGCTTAATGTTGGACTGTTCATTTCCCAAGAGATGGCTTTGTTTTGAAGAGTGCACATTATCAATTGGGTTGAAGACAAAATTACCTTATTTCAAGCTTGAATATAAATAAATTGGCAAACTTTCTACCTTGAGATTATTTGTGTGAGATGTTTATAAAGAGCAGAGACAGTTATGGTACTATCTTGACTCTGTTCTTAGCTTAGATTTAAAGGAATATTTATTTAATGTGTTTGGCTTTTACTATTTTGAATCCAGTCCTTTCAACCATCCTTATCAATGTAGCAGTATTTTTATATATCTATATATATGATATATAGAAATATGAGATATATATTTAAGTATTTGAGATATATATATTTCTCTTGTACAGATACAATCAGTTTCAGCATGTGAATAAAAAAGTGGTCTGCCTTCAGAAATGGTGCCATTTTATTAGAATTTGGTTCACAGCGGTTTTTCACATGCTCAACCTACCACATATAAAAGATCTGGCTTTTTTTTTTTTTAATAGTGCATTAAATATGTCTTGAATCTTTTTTATTTCCAGCCTGTATCTACATCATAAACTGATAGGTGGTTGTACAGAAAAAAAGAAAAAGAAGTGTGTTGTGGGCAATTCTCAAGCTACTGCTGTTTCCTTGTGACTTAGAGAAGGGAGGGAAGCTGCATCGTTCAGATTCAACTTCAGTGTGCTAAGCAGGGGGCTGCTTCGGGGACACCGATGTCCTTGCGTGGTTCGCTGTCTCCCTTGCCCTTGCAGCAGGTCATCCATCGCTTCCACCCAGCAGCCTTGTTCTGACAGAGCTGTTTTGTGGTGTCAGCACAGGGAGCCTTTGGCTGGGGATTTCTGAAGCAGCTCTTGCTGGCAGAGGGGCTGCTGGGCTGCGGCCAGGAGCGAGGCACTGCATCCCTGCGGCCTTGAGCAGGCTCCTTGCTCTCTGCAGCTGCAAAAGCTTTGGGCTCCTGCCTGGCACTTGCAGAAATCATTGTGGAATTTGCTGATTCTGCCAGACAAGAGCTAAACACTTGTTCCCGAGTGGTGTGTCCCATCAGTACAGCTGTTGGTTATGAAAAACATGCAAGGGCTTTCATCCGTAATAACAGAGCTTTGTTGAAGTGTTGCAAGCTCCAAATATTCCGAGTAATGCTATCATACAGCACCTCCTTGCTTAGCCTACAGGGAGCTTTTCACCCCCCATGCTTCAGTTAAAATGTTCATTTATTGTCATCATTTATATCAGAGGTGGGGAGGGAGGCTAAATTTTCCCTCCCTACTGTCAGTAAGGATTAACTGACATTGTTGGGCAGTGCTTTCAAAATATTCTAACCTATTTACACAACAAAACTGATCAGAACAAAATAAACAGTTCTGGTCAGCAGCTGAATGCTGTATTGTGGCAGCTATATTTGGCAGTGGGTTTTCTCATCCTTTTTCCAACGTAGACAAAACCTGAATGCTACAGAAACCTTGAGCATTACAAGCAGATGATAACCTTACTGAATAGCTTGTCTTGCCTTTTGGGGAAAGGAGAGAGTTTGGCTGCAGTTCAGTTGGAACAAGTGCTTATGAAGCAACTGACAAAAAGCCTATGAGTAGATTTATTATTTTGCCATGCAGGGTAATAAATAATTGCATCATTTCCAGCAATTCACAGTATATACCTGTGAGATGGTGGATCTCTCTACAAGGTGTAATCTCTGCAAAGAAGTATTAAATTGGGAATTGTGACAGACTGTAAACATTGTTGTTTTCCTGCTTAGGTTTTGTTGTTTTGGGTTTTTTTAAATTTTTTAGCAACCATAGTGGATACTTGCAATTTCCTCCTCGTTTTTATGTGGTATCCCCTAAGGAATTAATTGTGAGAAATGTTTCATTTTAACTATTTGAACAACAATTCCATATTTCCCGGGTCACAGATTTTTGGTAGTTTGGAGGATAAAATTGCCTGATGCTCAAGATAGGAAACACCTTTTTCTATCTTGCACGTGGAACTCAGGTTCTGAGAATACTAAAATGAAGCCTTTTTAAACTTGTCTTTTTTTCCTCATTCCATTTAGTGATAGTCCCAATGCTGTCCATGAGGTGGAAAAGTGGTTACCACGACTGCACTCAGTTGTCATAGGACCTGGCTTAGGTAGAGATGAAGTTCTACTTGAGCACGCTAAGGTAATGTGTATACCGTTATTTTATTCTGTTTCTTTGTGTTGAATTTTATTAACCAATTTCCTATCTTTTCCATGATTACACAATTGTTCTTGATTAGGGTTCCTAAATAACAAATTTAATAAAATATTTTTGACTGAAAATGACAGCTGTTAGAATGGTCTTATTTATTAAACTGTAAGCATCACTCTGAATTTTAGACACCCAGGTTTTATTGGGTGTTTTTATTTGCTTTTGTTTTGATTGTGAAAGTTGCTAATTAAGAAATAGATGTTGGCATCTTTAGACAAAGGGCTCTGTTTTTTCTTAGGTGCAAAGTACCTGTGCTGTAAGAAAATAAATATGAATTTGAGTTCTTAATTTTTGGGATCTTATTTGACAGCTTGTATGAGGAGAGGTACCAAAGAACAGGGACTGTGTCCCCTTGCAGTAAGAAATAATACTCTTAATTATAAAATGGTGCAGATTTCTACTCTGGGTAAAGAGGTAATCCTATTTTCTGACAAGCCTTAGTGGAGAGCTGAAAACAGGAGCTTAGACAGTTCTGTACTCTAAATAACATTTAACCGATACAGTCTTCCAGATGATGTCTTGTATTACTGTCAACACATCTTTGTACATTCAAAGTGTATCTTTCAATCTAATGTCAATCTGATTTTGTACAATTTTATTTTTTTTCTGAGAAGTATTACTGAATTAATCAGTGGTATTAACAAGTGGAATTAATATAATTTACAGAAATGTTGACAGTTACACAGTGAAATTGCAAAACAAGGGAGGCAAGAGACTGGAGGCCACACTTTCCAAGCAGTTTAGAATACCTTGAGAGCTATGGAGAGTGGTTTTGCTGGGCTTTTGTTAGAGAAAGTTGGTTTTGGAGCTTGTAGCTGCTTTAGTTCTTCTGCTTCCAAATGTGTTTGTTTTATCCTATAGAGGTACAAAACTAATAAAGAGCATGGATTCAGAAAGCAAGTAAAAAGAAATTTATTACAACTGATCAGGAAAACAGATTCTATTCTGAATGAAAAATTTCAGCAGATTTTATTCTTTTTCGAAAACATTTTTTCAGAATTCTTTTTACAGAAAAAAATTTGGGGCAATGGTCTTTCTTTTTTTCTTGTTTTTTTTAAAAAAAATTTAGGGTTTTTTTTTTCTGAAGAAAAATGTCTTAAAATAAAGTAGTTAATTTAGCCTGTCTAAGGTATCCAACATAAGCTTCTTTGATATCAGCATTCCATCTGGGTTTTATAAATATTGGTCAATGTGCTTATCTGTATTACAGAAGTATCTGTAAGATTCCTTGATTGTATTTTTTTTTTTTCATCATTGCTAAAAATGATTTTTCTTTCTTAGTGCATTACAAGCACACTTTTACTTGAGCCTGTCTGTCCTGTGTGAGCTAGCTTAAATTAAAGAAACAAACCCAGCCAGTGAAATCAAGGCGTTTGGAAGTTACTTCATGGTAGGATCTCGGGCCACGTTCATATGAGCTGTGGGTCTGACCTTATTAATTTCAAGTCACATTAAAGCTCAAGTTCTTTGTCTTTGCTGTAATTATGTAAGTGTTCATTAGTTTCCCAGTGTTGTTTTTTTAAATCCAACTACCATAATCTTCTAAATTCTTTGTTCAGCCAAAACCTTTAATAAGTGCATGTAATTAGGGACAAGGGAGCCCTGGTTGCCTGCTTGAAGAAGGCTGGTGCTTCTCTGTTGTGAGGAAAGGCTGAGTCTCCCTCTTGCTTCAGCAGTGAATTTTAAGCTTTGTGTCACTCTTCACCTCCAAGCAAAAAAGCAAGTGATTATAGTGTTAACTATTTTAAGCTTTTATAGGAGGCTGACTTGGTGTATAATTTTCTGTTTTCCCTTTAAGCTAACTTCAGCATGCTGTCATGTGAATACAGGGCTGAGAGTTAGATCAGTGTCTGCTTTGTGGTCAGGGTTTTGTATCAGAGTGGCAGTGACGATGGGAGAGAGCTTCCCCTCTTCCTCCTCCTGCCCCATTAAAGTGCTGAGGCACAGTGGTCTGTCACCTCTCTGCTGCTGTTCCTGTGTCGCTTCTTGTCAGTATTGTGCCAGCACGTTGCCAATGAATGTGCCTGTCCAAACGGTCGTGTGTTTAGGCTGCTTCTCTCTTCTGAGCATTCACAAGTTAAGGTACTAACAGAGCAGCCTGCAATTTCTGGTATACAGCCCATGGACGGTGTTTTATTGTACAATAGCCCGAGTACTTCTTGACCAGATGGTGCATCTTCTCTCTCCAGACCAAAGGATGTTTTGCTTCCTCAGCATCTTTACTATGTCACTTGCCTCCTTCATGCTTAATGCCTGCAGTGTGTACACTGTGGCATTTCAGCTCCTTTCAATAGTCTGGTGGAAAAGAAGCACCTTGTGATCTGTTTCCTTAGATTCCACCCCCTCCCACCCCCACCTTGGGAGCATAGTGACACTCTTTGAATTCATGCTTATGGGCTTCCTGTGATCCTCTGGTTTTGACTCTAATTCTATTTACAAGTCCTGTTACAAGAAGCCCCTCTACAAGTTATTTCCCCTCTCTCACATGCCACTTGTGTGGGTCTGTGCCAGAACCCTCACATGCTGTTCCTCAGGTTCCTGAGTGAGGGCTGGTGATCTGTCAGAGCTTTCTATCCATGGGTTTGCAGGACCAGGAGCTGCAGCTTCAGAAAAATCTTATAAAGAAAGCATTTGTTGTGTCCTAGTAGCTGTGCAGCTGGATCCCATGCAGATGTGGCAATCCTAGTCATGGCCTGGTTAGATCCTGCAATTCCAGAGCAGATAAGCAGTCCAAGCTATTTCTCTTCAAGAGGAAGGAACAAAACTATGTTTCTGCTCCACTTCTCAGCTCTGGTGTGTGCAGACTGAAGCATCTCTGCTCCCCATTCTACTTCAAACTTCTGAAATGCTGTGACCACATCTGGTGTGGAGCTTGGCCACCACAGACAGCTTCCTTGTAGGCAACATCAGGCCATCTGTTTTTCCCGTTCAGTGTCCATGATTGATTCTGGACAGAGACAACAGTACCGTTACCTCCTCAAGTTCACCTCAGTTGTTACACTGCTGGTGGTGGTGTAGACTGTTGAGGAAGAGTTTAGCTGCCACATGGAAGCAAGGCCAAGGTCCCTATTGCTGTCCTCTGTCAGTGGTTAGAAGCAGCGTATTCCCAAAGCTATTGGATGTTCTCCATTTTTCACACAGCAGCAATATTATGTCCCTATTGTGTCCACCCATCACAGTGTTCTTCATTCAGTCCTTCCAAGGATGTTTGTACTTCTACTCTTACTCTGATCACGTAGCCTGAGGCTTGGAGGTAGAGGAGTTCCTGCCTGTACTATCAAGAGCTGTTCCTCAGGTTTGTGAGAGAACCCAGTTCCTCTCCTGCAGGGCGATGAGTGCAGCTCCCGAGAGGACTTTGGAAGGAATATTACATTCCTTGTGTAGCCCTCTGGGAGAGGAGAGGATACTGACTAATGCTCCAGAGCGTTCTGCGTTCAGTTGCTGCCCAGGAGTTAGGCAGTTACGGGCTTAGCTATGTCCTGGATCAGTTTCCACCCTCGTTATCTCCTTTCTCCTCCTGTTCCTTCTGACAGTGTGATGTTCCTGTCAAATTTTCTGCTTCTGAGTTTGGTGAATCTTTATTGGGTATGTTACTGGCTTTGTGGTCAAATGGACTGATACAGAATTGTTGGTGGAATAGGAGTTACTGTTGGGATCGGGTAGAGAAAAGCATTCATCCTTATGAAGAGCCCTGTAGAATCATAGTGGTTGGGAAAGACCTTTAAGATCATTGAGTCCAACTGTTAACACTGCCAAATCCACCTCTAAACCATGTCCCTAAGCACCTTGTCTACCTGTCTTTTAAGTATCACCAGGGATGGTGACTCCACCACTCCCCTGGGCAGCCTGTTCCAATGTTTGACTGCCCTTTCTGAGAAAACATTTTTCCTAATATCCAACCTAAACCTCCCCTGGTGCCACTGTCCTTCACTGAAGTAAGACTTTGACGTTGGAATCATCAGCATCTCCCTGAAGTGGTAGCACTGAATCCTGGACTCTGCAGCTCCAGTGCTGCCGTGTTTTGTCTTGCAGCAGCCAAGTTAGATTGGTGTTTTCAGCAGAGCATGTTCGCTTCCCTCCTGTAAGAGAGGTAACAATAAATAGCAAGAGTGGCTCTGTGTAACTCAGATTACGCGGTAAAATCTACTGGGTTCTCAAACTGCACGCTTGTTCCTCTTGCTTGGTTCTCAGTCTTTGTTTTAGCTCCAAGAACATGTCCTCAATACCAGCCTGGATATTTGGCTGAGGCCCTTCCTAGCTGCCATTTCTGGTCATTGCTGTCACTGGTTCTCTCCCCACAACCCCCTCACCCTGCAATGCTACCCGCAGCCAGTCATTTGCCCTTAAAGATCTCTGTTCTCTGTTGGGATATAAATTTCAGAAATCTCATTTTCTACGCCATGCGATGTGATCTTCAGGTTGTGTGGAAATGTCTTGGCTGTAGTGAACACCTAGAAAAGAGTGGGAGAGGTTTGGGCTGCTTTCATGGATTGCCTCCATTGAGTGTGCCCAGAGAGAGTCCATTTGAAATTTTCTCTCAGATGGATTCTCCGTTCCACCTCAGCTGAAGTATCAGCCTTTCTGTGTTTGTTTTTGATTAGTTGGATTAATTACCCCCCTTCAAGCCTCGTGCCTTCAGGATTTAAGCAACACTTCACAGCCTTAATAAAATGTGAGAACGGGACCAGGTGCTTCAGTGGACTGTCTGCACTAGTTTTTGCAAGCTCAGAAGAACTACAGAACACAGAGCCACCTTTTGTTGTCATAGCAGGCCATGAAAGCTAGATCGGCTGCTGTGGGCTTGGAGAAGCATTATCCTCTCGCTACTACTGAGCTGCCCCCCCGGTTCCATTTGTACCAAGTCTAAGACATCTGAGAAGCGTCCCAAGCTAATGCTGTAGCTGGTAGATTTGTAGTACTGTCTGTGGTAC